CTAACCTGACATGCTTTCAACCCATCTGGAACCTTCAACTGATTCTCTCAATTTCCCACTACCCCCTCATTCCTTTATTGGCTTCACTCCCCTCTTTATCACATTTGAATCACATAACCAATTGTCATCATTCCCTCTCATACACCTTTGATTCTCTCTCTCTTTTCCTACTTCCTTGGCAAAAATCACAATCCTAACTACATGTAACTGTGCATCTATTCTATGTCTTCATGCATGTACCTAAACAGAGTTAAAGAAAAACACACAACCATGATGACTTGTCCTAATTTCATGACCATGAATTTCAAATAGTCCTTTAATGTAGGCTGGCTCTCAATCTTATTTCCCCCATCCATACCACCTATCTTTATACCATCTCCCTCTCCCTCCCTCTCTGAACAAGATTTCATTCTCATTCTCAGTGATGACCTTGCCTCCCACATTACAGATAAAACTGATAGAGTAGGAAAGAACTTTTTAGACCCTCATTGCACTGCCAACAGCCACACATACTCTCCCTTCCCATCTGTTATCATGGATAAATTATTCATAATTCTATTGTGTATAACTCTCATTTCTCACTGACACCCACATCATGAATTCTCCCCTCTTCTGAACATCATAAATTATCTGCTGAAGATGTGCTATTTTGAAAAAAACAAAATGCTCTCTTGACTACTTCATCTTCAGCCCAGGCCTTATTTCTTCACTAGCCTGCACAGCAACACTGCTTTTAAAAAGTCTTCAATAGTCACAATATCTAATTCATGTCCCTCCATTTTCTCTTAAACCCACTTTATTTATTTATTTTAAAATATTTTATTTATTTTACTTGACAGCAAGAGACACAGCAAGAGAGCGAACACAAGCAAGGGAAAGGGAGAGGGAGAAGCAGGCTTCCCGCTGAGCAGGGAACCTGATGTTGAGCTTGATGTGGGCTTCAATTCCAGGACCCTGGGATGATGACCTGAGCTGAAGGCAGACGTAATGACTGAGCCACGCAGGCGCCACTAAACTCACTTTAATCAGGGTTTCATCCCCACTGCTTCACCAAAACTGTTCTTATCAAAGTCATCATTGATTGCCATTTTACTAAAATCAATGGCCAACTCTTAGCTCTCATCTTACTTGAGTTTCAGCAACATTTAACCTATATAATCACTCCTCTCTTCTTTTTTTTTTTTTTTTGAAGATTTTATTTATTTGACAGTGAGAGAGTAGGGAGAGAGGTAGGCAGAGAGAGAGGGGCAAGCAGGCTCCCCACTGAGCAGAAAGCCCGATGTGGGGCTTGATCCCAGGACCCTGAGATCATGACCTGAGCTGGTAGAGGCTTAACCCACTGAGCCACCCAGGTGCCCCCACTCCTCTCTTATTGATAAACGTTCTTTACTTCCAACACATGTAATTTCTAGTTTCTTTACATCCTTGACAGTCATTCTTTCTTGGTCTTCATTCTCTCCTACCTTTACTGTTAGAGTCACCCAGATTCTAGCCCTTCATCCTCTCCCCTTCTCCATCTTTACTTCTTCCTTCAGTCATCTCTTTTCACCATATGACTTTAAAGACCATTTATATGTCAACAAAAGTTGATTTTATATCTCCTTCCCAGATCAATCTCTCAAACTCCCCAGACATGCTTATTCCACTGACCCATATGATCTCATTAGTTCTCAATATTATCATGACTACAATTGGTCTTCTCATCTTTTCCCTCCTTCCTCCCTAAAATCCACTGAATCTACTTAACCTGCAGCCTTCTCCATCTCAGTTGATACCAATCTAATTTATTCAGGCCAAACACCTTAGAGCCATCTTTAGCTCTCTTTTCTCTCTTACCCCACATCTGATCCACTGTGAAATCCTGATGGTCCAACTTTAAAATACTTCCAGAATCCAAATTCTTAATACCATTTCTGCCACACCCAGTTAGGGTTACCACTTTCCCTTTTACCAGACTGTTATGATGGTCTCCTATCTGACCTTTCTCCTTTCACCCTCTCCATCTATGGTGTATTTTCACATAGCTGCAACTGTGGGCCTCTTAAAATATGTCACATCAGGGCACCTGGGTGGCTCAGTCAGTTAAGCATCCTGCTCTTGATTTTGACCCAGGTCATGATCTCAGGTCCTAGCATCAAGCACTGCACCAAGCTCTGCACTCAGTGGGGAATCCGCTTGAGAATTCTCTCCCCTTCTTCCTCTGCCCCTCCCTCCACCCTCACACACTCTCATGCTCTCTTTTTCTCTCTCCTGAATAAATAAGTAAATTTAGAAAAAAAAAAAAAAAGTACGTCAGAGCATGGGATTCTTCTGCTCAAAAACCTATAAGAACTCCCATTTTGCAAAGAGCTCTGAGTCCTTATAGTGGCCTACAAGGCCCTGCTCTATCTGACCTATCTAGGCTGGTGTTTCCCCTCATTCTAGGCTCAGGGGTCTCTGTGCTGTTCCTCAAACTGCCAGACTCATCCCTCATCTCACTCACTGATGTATCCCAAATACTTGAAGAGTACCTGGTAACCTAATAGGCTTCCAATAAACATTTGTTGATAGAAAGTCAGATAGAACAATTATAAAACAATTTTAATGTGTCAATGATATCCCAATAAAGCTGGGAAAATGTACAATAAAACTACTGTAATAGTCTGGTAAATAAGTAATGGACACTCAGTTCAATTCTACCCTACAAATATTTATTAAAAGGACAAAGATATATAATCCAGAATCTCTGCCCTTGAATACCTTATAGTGGAGAGATACACAGGTAATTTCAAAATGTTAAAAAATAATGGAACAAAGACAGGGCATCCTCAAGAGAACAGCATGAACAAAGGTTGGGAGACATGGAATAGCATCATGTGATGGAGAGCTGAAAGAAAGTCAGTCTGATTCGATGTGATGGTCTGGTTGATATGACTACTTGGCGAGACTACAGTCCCCAGTTACTCAATGAACACTAATCTAGGTGTTGTTGTGAAGGTGTTTTCTAGACATAATTAAAGTACATAACTAGTTTCTTTCAGTAAGAGAGATTATCCTAAATAATCTGGGTAGGACTGATTCAACCAATTGAAAGGTCTCAAAAGCAGAGCTGAGGCTTCTCTGAAGAAATTCCTCCTACAGACAGAAGCTTCAGCTGTGCCCAAAAGTTCCAGCATGCCATTCATAAGTACCTGCTCTATGGATTTCAGACTTGCCTACATAGCCTTCCCAATTATGGAAGCCAATGTCTTATAACAAAAATCTCTAAATATCCATCTTCTACGGGTTCTGCTTTTTTGGTTGAACTGGGACTGATACACTAGAATATAAAGCTTAAGGCAGAAGGTGGCAAAATTAAAGGATGAGATGTAGTAGAGCTAGAACAAGAAAGGCATTTGTTTTTAACATGCTCAGAGGTTTGAACTTTACCTCAAAATCAGTAGGATCAGCAAGGTGAATGACATGATTAGGGGTTGAGACAAATCATTATGGATTTGATATAAAGGATATAATGGGATAGGAAGCAAGGGGAAGAGAGAGATGCTGGTGGTTGGGAAACCATCCAAGTTACCTGTGAGAAAAGTAAGAGGAGAACCAAGAAAGAAGTTCATCATGGAAACCAGGGAACAGTGTTGGGAAGAAGTGGTGGTCCACCCTGATCTGGTGCATCAGAAGAGTCTGCCACTCAGTATTCTGTGATAAAATAAGTTTACAAAGGACCACAAGACAGCTGTGCTAGAGTGGAGAATCCAGAAACTAGATTGTATTAGGTTAAAGAGTGGCTGGGAAGTGAGAGAAAAGAGAAAATAGGAGTAGATTATTCTTTTACAGAAGAAAACATGGCAGAAGAGAGAAAAGATCAATTTCAAATGAAAATGATTAGAATGGGAGAAACTTTTAAGTTTTCTTAAGTCAAAAGCAAGGGAGGGAGAAAAGACAAGAATGAGGGTACACATTCTCCTGAGTGAGGCTCAAGAGAGGAGGTATGGCCAAGACCACAGGTGAAGGCTTGGTCAAGGACAGTGGGAGGACCTTCACTTTCTGAAAACTGGAGGAAAGAGAAGGATGAAAGTAAGCAGGAACAAATTTAGAATGGAGGGTAAGGAATCTGCAGTAATTCATGCCCAGTGGCCCTGGGGTAGCTCAGTGAGGTTAGGAAACAAGGTTATCAGTTGAGAGAGAGATGGTGTGATAGATCTAGAGATGGAGGTTTGGCTGGGTAGCCACCAGCCAGTACATAACTGGAATCAGGATCAGGTGACAGTTATACTAAAGGACTTCTGAAGTGCCTACAGTTCAGTGTTTCTACGAATCAGATGGGCAGAAATGTTGTCTTATTCACTGATGTTTTCTCAACACCCAAAACAATGCCTGGCATATAGAAGGCACTCAAAAAATTTGCTGAATGAATGAATGAATGAGTGAAAGCTTAGATGAGCTTCTCATATAAACAAGCAATAAAACCTTTTAGTTGAGATTACCTATTTTAACATAGACTTATTTAATATTTTTAAGAAATCACAGATGTTTTCCAGACCCTTGAAGCTCAATATAACTCCAGTCTTCTCTCCTAATCTCCAGACAATATAGCCAAGGCAAGTCAGGTAATGTAGGCTTTGAAGTGGGCATTTTTAGCTTGAATTTTTACCTGGACTATCTTAGAGAAAATTATCAAGAAAATGGGCAAATTTCTATTTTATTGTATTATACAGTAAGCTTTTCTGAACTGAGTAAGAGTTTACTCACTCAGATTTTCACTTAGATTCCACTACCATTGTAGGTAGAATGTAGCCTTAACCTTTTTCTGACACACTGAGCTCTTTCTCTTCTTATTGGTCTTGGAGATATTTACCACTGACCAAAGGGAAAAGAGGAGGGAAAAAAACAAGACTCTAAAAGACAAGTTTAAAAAAATAAACATAAAAAAATAAAAAGTAAGTTTAACTGGAATAAAAATATAATGCTGACAGTACTACATTGCTACTAAAATGGGTCTCTGTTGACTATTTCCCACGCATTACCTGGGTGGAAGACTTTGGTTTTCTCATTAGTGATTCCAGAAGAGCTTGCCTCCATTTTTATTGACCTCCTGCCTGGTGGAAGTGAGGAATGCCTGACCACAGGCAGGCGACGTGACCCTGGGCGTCTTGCCACACTTCGCAGTTGATGGATTTGCAAATGCTTTTCAGCCCCATGAATAGATAAACTTAAACCTGGAATGAGAAATAGCACCATTATTACCTAAAAAGTCAGTTCTGAATGGTTAAAATACCAAATTACTTTCTGACTTAAAATACAGACAGTTTAAGTAACAATGGTTCAAATTCTTAAAGAATGTTAATGACACTGGAATTCTGATACTGACTGACTTTCACATTGGATTATTCACTGAACATTATTTCATTCAAAAGTGGATATCCTCAGTTATCATGACAAGAGTTTCATGAATGGAGACCCAATGAAGTCAAATATGAAAATTCTTACCAAAATCCTGGGAAAATATGCACTTATTTAGTTTAGGAATTTCTACTGGGGTATCTGGAATTTCAATAAAAATCGAGCATTTTTTTCCTTTCTTAAAAATATTTTAATTCCAGTAGAGTTAACATACAGTGTTATATTACTTTCAGGTGTACAAAATAGTGATTCAACACTATAATTACCCAGTGCTCAATACAACAAATGCTCTCCTTAATCCCCAATTTCACCCATCCCCCATGCACCTCCCCTCTGCTAATCATCAGTTTGTTCTCTATAGTTAAGAGTCTGTTTCTCAGTTTGTGTCTTTCTTTTGCTCATTTATTTTGTTTCTTAAATTTCATGTGAGTGAAATCACATTATATTTTACTTCCTCTGACTTATTTCATTTAGTATTATACTCTCTATCTCCATCCATGTTGCTACAGATGGCAAGAATTCATATTTTTCATATTTTTATGGCTGAATAATATTCATATATATATATGTATATATATATATATATATACATATATATATAAACATTTTCTTTTAGGGTGGAATGTTCTGTATATATCTATGAGGTCCATCTGGTCCAATGTGTCATTCAATGCTCTTGTTTATTGATTTTCTGCTTTGATGATTATATCACATTTTCTTTATCCATTCATCAATTGATGGACACTTGGTCTTCTTTCATAACTTGGCTATAGTAAATAATGATGCAATAAACATAGGGATGCATGAATCCCTTTGAATTAGTGTTCTTTTTGTTTGGGGGGTAAATACCCAGAAGTGTGATTACTGGATCATAGGATGGTTCTCTTTTAACTTTTTGAGAAACCCTCATACTGTTTTCCACAGTGGCTACATCAGTTTGCATTCCCACTAACAGTGCAAAAGGGTTCCCCTTTCTCTACATCCCCACCAAAACTTGTTTTTGTATTGATTTAAGCCATTCTGACAAGTGTAAGGTAATATTTCATTATAGTTTTGATTTGCATTTCCTTGGTGATGAGTGACATTGAGCATCTTTTCTTGTGCCTATTTCTTTGGAGAAAAGCCTATTCATGCCTCCTGCCCATTTTTAATTGAATTATTTGTAAGTTTTTAGGTGTTGAGTTTTTAAGTATATTTTGGATAGTAGCCCCTTATCAGATATATCATTTTAAAATATCTTCTCCCATTCAGTAGGCTACCTTTTCGTTTTATTGATTGTTTCCTTTGCTGTGAGGAAATATTTTATTTTGATGTAGTCTCAATAGTTTATATTTGTTTTTATTTACATAATGCCCTTCTTTTAAGTTTTTATTTTAAAGTCTTCATTTTAAAGTCTATTTTGTTTGATTTAAGTATTGCTATTCCAGCTTTCTTCTGACACCCATCTGCATGATAATTGTTTCTCCATCCCCTCAATTTAAAGATTTAATTTAATTTATTTATTTGACAGAAATAAAGAGATAACAAGTAGGCAGAGCAGCAGGTAGAGATAGATTGGGAAGCAGGCTCCCTGCTCAGCAGAGAGCCCGATGCAGGGCTGGATCTCAGGACCCTGAGATCATGACCTGAGCTGAAGGCAGAGGCTTAACCCTCTGAGCCACCCTGGTGCCCCTCCATCCCTCAATTTAAATCTGCAGGTATTTTTAGGTCTGAAATTAGTCTTTTGTAGGAAGCATGTAGATGGGTTTTGTTTTTTGTAATCTACTGTCACCCTATGTCTTTTGATAAGAGCATTTAGTCCATTTACACTCAAGGTAATTTTTGACAGATATGTGTTCATTGACTTTTTGGTAGTTTTTCTCGGATCCTTCTCTTTCTTTCATGGCTTGCTACTTTTCTTTAGTGATATGCTTAGATTCCTTTCTCCTTATTCTTTACATATCTATTAGTAGGCTTTTATTTGTGGTTACCATTAGATTTGTAGATAACATCTTCTGCATATGACCATATGGCAGTCCATATTAAGTTGATGGTCACTTAAGTTCAAACCCATTCTTTATTACTCTCCATGTTTTATCTACATGATATTATGTTTTACATCCTTTTATTTTATGGATTCCTTGATTTTTTTTTTTTTTTTACAGAAATACTTATTTTTACTGCTTTTGTGTTTCCTACTTTTCACACTCTGATTTATGGTCTTTCCTTTCCACTCAAAGAGTTCCTTTTATTATTATTTTAAGATTTTATTTTGAGAGACAAAAAGAGAGCACAAGTAGGGGGAGCAGCAGGCAGAGGGAGAGGGAGAAACAGGCTCTCTGCTGAGCAGGGAGCCAAATCTGGGGCTCCATCCTAGAACTCCAGGATTGTGACCTGAGCTGAAGGCAGACACTTAACCTAACCACCCAGGTACCCTCTCTTTATTATTTCTTATAGGGCTACTTTAGTGGTCATGAACACCTTTAATTTTGTCTGTGAAACTCTCTTTCTCCTTCTATTCTGATTGATAGCCTCGTTGCATAGAGTATTCTTGGTTATAGATTTTTCTCTCCCAGTACTTTGAATATATCATGCCACCCACTTCTGGCTTGGAAAGTCTCTGCTGAAAAATCCACAGATAGCCTTATGGGGATGCCCTTGTATGTAACTGACTTCTTTTACATTGTTGCTCTTAAAAATTTTTATCATTGCTTTTTACCATTTTGATTACTATGTATCTTGGTGTGGACCACCTTTGGTTGATTTTATTGGTGGATCTCTGTGCCTCCTGGATCTGGATGTTTCCTTTCCCAGATTAGGGAAGTTTTTAGCAATTATTTCTTCAAATAAATTTTCTCTACCCTTTTCTCTCTCTTCTCCTGGGATCCCTATAATTCAGTATTATGCTTGATGGAACTATGCTGAATTCCCTAAGTCTATTCTCATTTTGCATAATTTTTCTCTCAGTTTTTCAGCCTTATTACTTTCTATTACTCTCTCTTCTAGTTCATTGATTTCATTCCCCTGCTTCCTCCAGCCTATTTTTTCCATCCAGTTTATTTTTAATTTCACTTATTGTGTTCTACATTTCTGATTGGTTCTTTTATGTTTTCTGCCTCTTTGTTAAGGGCCTCACTGATGTCCTCCACTCTTCTTAAGTCCAGTGAGTATCTTTATGACCATTATTTTAAATTCTCTCTCAGGCATGTTACTTACATCCATTTCTGTTAAGTCTCTTGCTCTGATTTTTTCCTGTTCTTTCATTTGTGATACATTCCTCTGTCTCCTCATTTTTGTCTAGTTCTTTGTGTCTGTTTCTGTGTGTTTGGGAAGTCAGCTACATCTTTGCTCTTGAAAGTAGTGGGCCAGCTGTGCATTTTTAACTAGGTAGTGCTGGTCCTCCTCCACAGGGAATACACAGCTTTAGCAGAGACCTGGGTTAGACTGGTCACGCCACAAACCACCCACAGGTGAGAGATGTATTCTTAACAAGGTGCCCACATCTTCCACAGGTGGATGGGAGATACAGTGTTGGTGAGGTCTCTATGGTTCTTCTCAGGGAAGGGATCTATAGCACCAGGACTGAGGGAGGACTTGATGGAGGGGCAGGAAGCAGTATAAGCAAGTTAGGTAGGGTGTGCTGGTGCCCAGCTGGTTCTCACAGGTGGCTGTGTGTTTATGATGAGGGGTAGAGGAGGAAAATGACACCTGCCAGCTCCTTTGTTCCTGGAAAATCTCTCAGCGAACTTTGAGATTAGTAACTAACTTTCCTTCCTTTAAGTTCCAGGTGTCTTTCTAACTGCTTCTTCCAAGAGGCATTTTCAGAGGCTGTTTGCTCTGCTGTCTTTAAGGATACGGGCTCAGCTTCCTTTTGCCCCTGGGACCCTCAGAGCTTCAGCCAGCTGATTTTTAAAGTTCCAAACTTTAAGTCCTGCTGATTGTAAGTACTCATGAAATTCAGTCCCTGATTCTCAGAGCCAAATGCTATGGGGATTCCTCTTCCGCTTATAGGCTCCCCAGTGTGCTAATCTGTTTCTCACCCTTCTCTGTACCTGTGGCTAACCTCCCTCAAAAAATTAAATTCATGGGGTTTATGTTCCTACCAAGTCCTTTCCTCTCCTACCCTCTCCATGCGGCCTCTTCTCTACATTTAGTTGTGGAGATTGGCCAGTCTTTGGTTCCTTTTCTGGATTGTTTGTTCTGAAGTGAGTAGTATCTAGTTGTATCTGTGAGATGAGGTGAACTTAGGGTCCTTAGCCATCTTCCTTGGGAGTCCCCTAGCAACTTCTATTTTTTTAATTAACTTTTAATTTAAACTTTTATTTTAAACTTTTAATTAAAAAAATAAGCAACTTTTCCATAAGACTCATGTTTAGACCAGAGTTGAAGATTTAACTCAGATTTGTACCTCTGATAATATTCAAATTATGTACCTTTTTAGAGCTATTTTATCCAGGAAAATTTCAAACATACCAAAGGCAAAAAGATTAGCATAATAAATTCCATGTACCCATCACTTAACTTCAAAAAATATCCAGATTTTTCCATAAAGATGGAGAGAAAAAAGATTTTTCTAATCTTGTTTCAACATACTCCACTCTTTCTGTTGTTGATATGCTTTTTAAGTGCTAAAGTATTTTAAAGCAAACTCTAGAGATTATGTCAATCTCATCAAAAACAATATTGACTGTATTGACTTCTGTTGTTTATATCAATATGGACTACACCTGCTGATACATATAAACCATATAATAAATTGAAGATATTTTAAAATAATAAATTACTAATACTCAAAGATTTTTTAAAAAGAACGCTCATTGATCATCATTAAATGTTG